ATATTGGTGCACTTTAAGCATTTATTTATTAGTTAATTTATATATTTCCACTTTTATTTTTAATTATGTCACTTTGGGTCCTCCGTACAGCAGAAGCCTGATAATCACCCATTCATTCAAATCAGGTGTGTTTGAGCAGAGAAAAAAATAAAACATGCAGGGCTGCGGCCGTCGAGAACCAGGATTGCCCACCCCTGTTCTACTCATAAAATTTACTAAGTACTTTTCAGTGAGGCTATAATAATAATAATAAGAAGAAGAAGAAGAAATTATTATTATTATTATATACACATATAATTCATTGCTGTGTTTATGTTTTCTCTCTTTGTTTACTTTTTCCGTCTTGGTGTCCGTTTCTAATTAATTTCAAAAGAATTTATAATAAAGGTTTAAATATATATGAAGTGGAGCATCATAGTGAAATGCCATGATGCTCCACTTGTGAAAATAAAACTGCCGGGCTTCATTTGGACACTCAGACATCAATTCTGATTTTCACATCGCCAGACAGGACATGGTTTAAAAAATAATAATACAGTAAAGTAAAGAAATACAAAAATACTTAGCTAGCATTAATTTATTTATGTGCAGACAGCTGCCTGTCATTAAAAAGTTATTTATAGTATTGATATGTGTTTAACTTCCTGTTTGAGAATAATAAAACAGATGTTTTCATATTTTTGGAGCATAAAATGAAAATAGAAAAATCGCCCGTTTTTTTATTTTTCACTCTGTTTTTAAAGCAAAAATCAAATATCCAATCGTTTCTTGTTTTTTAATACCCGTTTAGAAACTGAAAATCCAATGACCAAAAGATACACTGACCACCCAGGTGATACATTTTTATCAATGTGTTTTTTTTCTAAACATATTAAAAATGCAATGTTTTTCAGAACACAATGGTATATTTTAATCCCTGACTTTAAAGGTCTCCTGCACTGTTGAGCCACTATTAATTCCAAGTCCTTTTCTTGGAAGATATGTATCTAACTCCAAATGCTAAACAAGGACCACCCACACAAGTCTTCAGTATACAGAGGGTCCTGAAGAGGCAGCTTGTATCAGATAAGGAGCAACAAGATTTAATGTGTGCCGTGGTCTGATAGTGTCAGTATGAACAGTCACCATTTTTTATATCTGTTAGTTTAATTGTTTGCAAATAAACAACTTCAGGAATGTTTCTGAAAAGTTGCTCAGCTTCAGGATGAGCGTTATTTATTGTGTGTTTTTAAAGATGCTCGTTACCACATCATAACGATAAATATATTTACTTTTCAATGAGCAGCTTTACAGCGTTAACAGTACATTTCTTTTAAAAAAGGCTGTTTTTAAACCCTTCCTGCTTTACTCATTTTTATTTATTTTGTAACGTTTAACCACAAATCCTGAAAACACTGATCATTTTAAATTTAGAGTTGTATTCTTAACATTTCTCTCTCCTCTCTCTTCTTAGCTTTATTAGTGTGACCAACAGACAACATCCCTTATAAACACTGTTTCTAAGAATAATTCTCGGACCATCTGTATCGTAGTGAAATAACTTCACGTTCTCCGTTCCTCTCTGTGTCCAGACGTTAAACTCGGTGACTCCTCAGCCTCAGCCAGAAGACTGCAGCATCGCCCTGTTGCCTAGGAACCAGGATAAGAACCGCTTCATGGACGGCCTTCCTCCTGACCGATGCCTGCCCTTCCTCATTACAATAGACGGAGAAAGCAGCAACTACATCAATGCTGCTTTGATGGATGTAAGTCAGAAACACAGCGAGGTTGTGCTGCTTTCAACACATCCAGCAGGACTAGTTTGGGACGTTGTGTTTTATTTTTGTTGTTTTTTTTAATGCAAACACATGTAAAGATCTGTTAGATGTGACATCATTCTGAAAAAAATACATCATTTTTTCATATTTTGTCCCAACCTGCAGTCACATATTAGCTGAAAATGACTTAAAAGGTTCTATTACTGATTTAAAACAATAAAAAATAAGAATTTTTGCATATTTTCTACACTCACACACAGAAACACACACAGACTCCCCTCCTTGTTTGTGTGATGCTGTGTTTGTGGTTTTAGCAGAAGGCTAGAGACAAATCCAGGTTCTGAAAAAGACCGCTAGCTTCTCTGGCCTCCACTCAAACATCGCTTGGCACCGACTCAACGTGTTGCTCAGGTGCAGTCAGCTGAAAATAAAAAAGACAAAAAGAAAAACGTTGCTTATACAGAAGATGGTGTGGTTTCAGTAAGTCAGCATCAGAGAGGGGGTTGGACTTCAATGAGCAGTTCTAGAGGATGTTGAAAATAAAAATGCATGTTGTGACAAAAACCAGCTGACATGTCTCCAGCAGAGCTGCTGGAGGACAAAATGCAGTGTAAGTGATAAAAGACTGAGCAGAGTTTAGTCACTTACCTCTGGCCTCTTTCTAACCAAGCTGTCAGAAGAGTTCCAGGTAACGGAGTTTTACTTCAAATCTCCAGTACTGGATTTGTTTCATGGCTTCAGTGTTTGTTCAGCCTCCAGTTCTCCGTGGACCAAATTCATTCTTTGCTCCCAGATCTCCCCTGGACTCCGGGTCCTCATCGTGGTCCCAGTGCACCGCTCATGAAAGCCACTCACCCCCCACCCTCCCCCCGTCACATTTTCACCCATCTTCATCTGAGACGAGTCCGGCTCAGTTTCCATTCAGTTCAGGACGTTCCAACAAATTATTCTCCTCATAGAAACTTGGTGTTTTCTTGGAACGTATCATGTGAACCAACTGATAACTGACCCCGTTTTGTGCAGATGTGTTGTAGTCTAAATGTGAATGCATGCTCCTGCCTCTCCCACTGCACGATCATCTTCATCATCACCTTCCTCGCTTTGTGACGTCCCTCAAACTGTTTGTTGTTGAATTTGTGGGTTTGGGTGAAAGCGAGTGAACGAGATGGAGGAAAGATTTGCTTTGTGTGATGAAAACATGGCATCAAGTTTTTTTCTCTCTCTGTTTCGCCTGCAGAGCTACAGACAGCCTGCTGCCTTCATCGTTACCCAGCATCCTTTGCCCAGCACAGTCAAAGACTTTTGGCGGCTAGTTTACGACTATGGCTGCACCAGCCTGGTGATGCTGAACGAGATCGACCTGGCTCAGGTAGTTCACTCTCAGCGTGGCTTAGAGTTGTTTTTTTGATGTTCTGAAGCTAAAAGTTGCTGCTTTCTTCTCAGGGTTGTCCTCAGTACTGGCCGGAGGAGGGCATGCTGCGTTACGGTCCGGTCCAGGTGGAGTGCATGTCCTGCTCGATGGACTGTGACATCATCAGCCGGCTCTTCAGAGTCTGCAACCTCACCAGGGTCAGTACGGGTTCTTATTTGGTGCAGTTCTACAGCGAGGGTTGCTGATATCGGTTCAAATTTTTATCTTTTTGTTTTGGTCGTTCAGCCTCAGGAAGGCTACCTGATGGTCCGTCAGTTCCAGTACTTGGGATGGGCGGGGCATAGAGAAGTCCCCGCCTCCAAACGCTCCTTCCTCAAACTGATCCTTCAGGTCGACCAGTGGCAGCGTGAAGGAGAGGAGGGCGAGGGAAGGACCATCGTGCACTGTCTGTATGTGTCTCAGAGCGTTTCCAGTTAGGACTGGTTTTAGGGTTAAAGATGAACGACGCGTTTGCTTTTGTGTTTCTGTAGGAACGGAGGCGGGAGGAGTGGAGTGTTCTGTGCCAGCAGCATTGTGTGTGAAATGGTCAAGAGGCAGAATGTGGTGGATGTCTTCCACGCTGTGAAGACGCTGAGGAACAGCAAGCCCAACATGGTGGATACTCCCGTGAGTTCACATCACCTCACAAGAATCAGGAAGGGAAGTTAAACTAGGGCTGGACCATGTGGCGAATATTTATATCACAATATAACTCCTAATTTTTATATTGATACAAATAATAAAAATGTCAGAAAACTATGAAGAGCACCAATATTTACTGTACCTACAAACCTGAGGTCATTAAAGACATCTTTAAAGAGAATTATGACTAGTCAGAACAAAAATCGACATATTTCAAATTTAGTGACTCGTCATAATTTAATTGTTGCTATTTGAAATACGTTTCATATAGTCAGTAATTTATTGCAGATATTTTGAGTTTATGCCACAACGGCCTGCCATACCCGTCTGTCTGTAGCATTTGTTTCACTTGTTGGACATCTGCTGACAGGGAGATGATGATGTTTTAGGAACAGGATTTAAACTTTTAGAGGGCTTCGTTTACACTCAGAATGTTTTACCAAGTGGTAGGGTATAAGAAAATATTGATACTGATACACTGAAATATTGCAATATTTCATTTACAGATACCGCATCGATTTTCCAAAGCACTGTATCGATTTTTAATTGAGGCTTAGAACGTAAACTTTCATGCCTGCTGTTCATTCTTGTGTAGTTTAGCCTCCGACCACAAGTTGGCAGCAGTCAGCTAGCCATATATTTTTGGGGAAAAAAATTAAACTATATCGTTGCTTACAGTATCGCAATTTATTATATTGTGCACCCTGTGTCAGGATATGTATCATATCACCAGATTCTTGCCAATCCATCCCGATCGAGTGAAACTTTATCGGTAAAACAGTTTTGATGTGTTTCCACTGCGAGTCGGAACCAGACTCTCTGCCGTATTTTTTACAGCGGCCTGAAAGCTTCAGTTTATCAGAATTTCAATACCTGAACCACTTCCACACCACTGAATTTGAGCTCATTTAGGTGCAAATATCCACTGCGTTAAGGTTAGCATTGTTAGCGAAGCTTAACCAATGGTAGCACTGAGCACTGCTTTGAGCCTCTGGTGTACGACATCATATCACCATTAATGAACCGTTTCCTATCCTGATATGTATTGTTAATGAATTAATGAATTGTTGTCCAGCACTAGTTTAAACATAAAAAGTTCTGGCCACTCGGACTCGTTTTTATTGATTGTTTCTTGTCCACAGGAGCAGTATCGGTTCTGCTATGACCTGGTTCTGGAGTTCATGGAGTCGTCCTAAGCAAAGGATGGAAGCAGGAAGTAAAGCCGGGGATGATCTGTTCCCTGCTCGTGTTTGAACCTTTGTCGTGGTGTTCTGTAGCATCCACTTTCCGTCTCAACATGTGCTGCGAGTGGATTGGGCTCGTTGTACAGCGGTGTTCTGCACAGGGAAATGTTTGGACTTTTTTTTTAAGAGGACTGCTGCAGTGCAGAGGAGGAGACGTTACTCCTTTTATTTCCTTTATGCTTATTGTACAGCTTTTTGAGTGCCAGCGGGGCTCCTGTATGTTTTGGGCCTCGGTTTAAATGTTAAACCTCTCACCACAACCCTTTCCTCTGGACTCGATGCTTTGTGCCGTTTCAGCTGCAGTACTCATTGTGAACTGTAGATGTCGCCCTTCTCCTTTTGCAAGCTGGCATCCCAGCTTACAACAAACTGCAAGTTCAAGTTTTCTGTGGGCCCGCATTCCCATGATCATGGTATTTTTTTTAAAAAAAGGACTTTAACTACGTCTGATCTTGATGATTTTTCTTTTTAATATTTGCTGCCAGAAGTTTTGTACTGGCGCAAAAAAAAAAAACCTGAACTTACAGCCCAGCCAAACGTGATGAGAGCTTCTGTTTCTGGTCACTTCCTCTTCATGTTAGGTGTCTGGTCATCTCAGTCGAGTCTGAGTTTATTGATTACGTACGAGTTATTTTTAACCTCTTCTGTTTTAAATTGGTCACACATAACGATGTAAAAACAGATGAAGAAAATTATGTTTGTGTTTACTAGTTTTTTGTTGCATCGTGTGCTAATTTCAAGGATAGAAGTTTCAAAGTCTTTTGTGTGAACGTGAATTGTAAAAACAGATAGTTTCATTGTCATCATGTTTATTTCAGGGCTGGGCCCAATGCACTTTCAATTCAGCCAGTTCACAACAGATATGAGTCCAACAAATCCAGACGAGCCTGTTGTATAAAAGGACTGAGATTATTTGTTGCTTTGTTAAAAAAAGAAAAACAGCAGAATTGGAAGTGAACTGACCCCAGGCTTCATTTGTTGTGTGCTCTGGTGGCCAACACTTTTTGTTTGTTTGAATTTTATTATTTTGTAGCTGATGTTTCTTCATAAGCCAAAGACTTTGTGTAAATATGTGTATATGGATAAAGCACATTGTTTGTATTTATTGTTTACTTGCATTGCTCGTAAGAACAATCATTTTTCATTCCACGTTTACTCTACCAGCAGCGTTTCTTAAACCGTGTTTTGGGGGGCGGGGCATGGAAAACGGGCCGGTTCACCTGGAGTCCTGAAATATCAGGTTTGAGTCCTTGAAGAGTTTAAGAAGCCCTGATTGAAGCTGTATATTAGGCCTTAGATATTGTTTTTCAGTATTTAGGTGGAATCCAGTTGTATTGTCTTTTTTTTTTTTGAAAGCCCTCTGCTGTTTGGGTCGGCAGGACGTCGACACATTTACACGCACGGAGTATTTTTGGATGATAGCTCCTCCCCCTTCAGTCGGGATGAGCCGTTTGTCTTCATCCACATTTATTTTATCCCTGACACAAACGGGCCACGCCAAACTGTGACACAAACACATTTATTGTGCCTAATCGTTTAAATTGACTTGTTGGAAACGGCACGTTCAGCCTCAGTCAGGGCTTTGTCCGATGCGTTCTTATGGACGACCAGAGTTTTAAGTATTTTTGTTGTTGAACTCATCCGACTGCTTCTTTGTGAGGCTTTACTGCAGACGTTTCTGTTTGTGCGCAGAGACGTGGAAAAAAAACTAAAAGTATATTGTAAATATGTCAGATGTTTCACTCAGTTGGAGCAACTTTAAAGGTCATTTCATGAGTACTTTATAGAAAAGGTCAAAATGTTAAAACTCGGGAGGATTCAACTTCAACAGATGTTTCGATATTTAATAATTTCCACAAGTTGAAGTTTATTCTGTTGGAACGTCAACTTTCAATTTTAGTTCAACTTTTTATTTTGACCTTAAAGGGAGAGAGAGATCCAGAGGCCTATGTTATAATTGTACACTAAATATGTTGATAAATTCACCATTTGGGCAAAAGGAATGAGCATCCCAGCTAAACGTTGTAAAGATACCGCTTCATGTAACAAATCTTGACCGTTCTGTCATTAAAAGTAAATTTGTGGCCCTTAAGAAGAGTGAACGGATGAAAGGGTTCAAGTTTGGCAACGATGTTCACGGTTCATAATTATTCTTGTCTGTAATGTTTGGCTTCTTTGCTGTAATAAAGACCACTTCTTTAACTAAAATGTCTCAGGTTGTGCAGTTTGCAGTGGTTTTTCTATGGGGTGGTGCCGCGACAAAAACATCTTTCATCACTTTTGTTTTCTTCCAAAAGTTTAATTTGCATAACTATTTACAATGGATGGTTGATAGCAGTACTTAGAGGAGGCAAAGTATTGTAAGTCACATTCATAAAGCAAAAAGAAACGTTTAAAAAAATGATAAAAACTGTTCCCAAAATAAAAACATTGCATTTTAGAAAAGAAACTTTACAATTAGTTTATAGATAAAACAAATCTAGAAACAAATTATTCAGCCTTAAGTAATCCTCCAAACACAAACTCATCTGTAGGCTGCTGTTAATACTGACCAGCAATAAAACACTAATTAATACAATCATTTTCACTACCCTGCATGCTATTATAAAATCATGTTGACAAAGTAACATTAAATAACAGAAACATGGTCAAGAGCAGAAAATAGTTGAAATTAAATTAGCCTTATATCATATGTATATAGTCTATGTATATTTGTATATCTGTACAAATTCTTATTTGGCATTGTTGTCCTCAATAATGAATATATTTAACAATTTCAAAATAGATTTTAAGCTAACCACAAATCTTTAAGATATCAGTTTTTTTAATGTCACTTCCCAAAAACCCATGAGAGGCTTCTTTTTGCTTTTGTCACCCACAGCCACAAAAATAAAATAAAATAAATATCTCTACACCAGAAAACACTGAAAAAATAACATTTTCTCAACAGTTTTGCAAAAAAATTATGCAACAAAACAAATGGGGACGGTGTGCGATTCTGACACGGTTGTGAAAATATGTCTAATATAATAACCTGCAAGAGTTGGTTTACTCAAAGGGCCACTGAACCTGCAAGAAAATATAAGATAATAAAACTGCTGGGAAAACTTAATATCGTCTTAAAAATCTCTTTTAACACATCTTAAGCCTAATAAAATACATAGTTTGTCTTTTCTTTTGGGAGTTAACGAATAAACTGTTTAAATTAGCATCTATAGCTTAGCATCTAAAGTATTGTTTTAAATTCATAACACTCTATAACTTAATATTTTATTGAGTAATTTATAGTGAAATAATAGGGGTGTGTTTTATGCATATAGGCCTATCTGATTTTCTATGCAGCAGGCTGGCTTAAGCTGAGCTAAAATGAATATATTTCTAAAATAAAAATAAGAAATAAGCTAACAATAGCTCCACTGAACTGTAGGAGAAACTAATGTGCTGCGCTAGCCTGGGAACAAAACAGCATGAGGTGTAGTTTTAAGAACTCAGTAAAACAATTTATAATGAATTAAATAAATAACACAACCAGCACATTGTTTAGCTGCACATTTAGCAAACACACATCTCTAATCAAGCAAAAAAAAAAAAATACACAAACATTCTTCCACTCAACAAAATAATTAAAGTAGCAGAAAGGTCACACAAACGTTAATTAAAATCATTGTTAGCTAATGTTGAAGTTAGGCTTATTGCTTGGAGAGCAGACGTAACTCACATTCAGCCAAGTTACAGAATCTGAGTGAGCGTGACGTTAAAATGATCATAATCAGGATTTATGAGAAGAGGAACAAAGAATACAAAGACACAGTGGCAGTACAACCGTACAGGAAACAATCAGAAAAACTCGAATGGGCTCACAAATATACAGACCAGGAGGGGAAACTCGAGCAGCGATTTCAGTAGAAATACTGGAACACTGCTGTTGTGGTATTTGTGTGCGTTTGATGCTTTTGGTGTGTACTGATTGTCAGAATCAACAACAAAACAAAAACAAATTGGCGAGAACGTAGAAAGAGGAAACGGTTGATTCAGCACCTTTACTTGTGTGAGGTTGAACTTCAGGTCACCTTACAAAAAGGTTGGAAAGCGTGGTGCTAACTCAAAAGAATCGGACAAAAAAAAAAAATAAAAACAAATAAAAATCGGACTTATCTTTGCGATTGAGAGCATCGCTGAAAAGCAGCCGAAGGTTAAGTTTTTCTTTACACCGTTTTGTTGTAAAAGCAGCGTGAAGAAAACCCTGAAAGACAAATGAACGCCGCTGCACTGCGATGACGATAAAACCACGCATTTTTGCTTCTGTTCGGCACAGCGCGCGCACACACGCGCCGCGCTCAAAGCTCTTTTTTTGAATGGAAAGGGTGACCTGCGCTGGGGCCTGCAAACATCTGCCGCCTGGCAGAAGTACCGCTGCATAGTACAACATGTCGAAGTGTGTTTCCTGCCAAGCTCACGACTAGTTCTCTAAAACGAGTTAGCGATGAGGTAAGTAAGTAGCTGTAGGTGTAGCCTGTCTCTCATTGTATTAAAACACTATTGCACTTTTCGGCTGGTCAAGTTTTGTCAGTCTCCAGATTCTGTTGACATGTAGAGTCAAAGATGGCGGAAAGATGACGCTTTTTAACAGAATCTATGACTGATCTGAAATCAAAGCTAAAAAAAATGAATGTACTCTGAATCAAATTTGTTGTAAACAAAGAAAACAAATATTAGCAAAACCTCTGTTGGTAACCTCTAGACTGTATTGTGCTGAAGCTTATTACAGTAGGAGATCTGAACAGGTCAAATATAAATGCAATCTTATTTGAAACTGCAGTCTGACCCAGGGTTTAGTTTCCAGCCCTTTGCGAAGGTACTAACTCTAAAAGGTGTTGCAGTCCTTTCATAGCAAACTAAAGCATTCCCTCAGTCTTAAGGGAGTCAGTCTGTAAGGCACCTGAGGATTTGTCATGTACATAGTTGCCAAATTCCTAAGCCCCTCGTAGAATGGGGAGGACGATGGGAGACAAACACAGATATTCAAAAACTATGGTGTGAAAATGGCACCAGAACATCAGAACATCCCTGCATGAAAACCACAAAAACATTTTCTTTGTCTAATTGTGTCTAATTATTATACAAGTGTTCAAAAAAAAAAAAGCACATCGTCCCTGGACCTTTTCAAATTGTGCGTCAGATTTTCACTCAGGGGAAAAAAAACAAGCTCGTGACTTTTTTTTTTTTTTACCCTGTACCCCATCTCAAATAGGAAACACTTTATGACTATTAATAGGTTTTGCTTTCAGACCTGGAACGGTGAGAATAAAAACCCGATCATCACTAAACACACGACAGGATCACAGTTTGCAGTCTGTGGGAAGTAGACTGGATCTGACTTCAGTCAGGTGGAAGAGCAGTTGGATTGTTAAGCAGCCCATCAGCTATCAGTCACATAAAGAAAGCCTTTAGCTCCTCTCAGTGGGGGAACGATGTTTTTTTTAAATAAATTTCAGATCACAAGATGAGTGAGGATTTAAAGACGTGAATGAAAAGCAAAGCTGTTCATGACATTAAAATCGACTTAAAAAGTTGGGGAAAAATTCTCACATTTTTCAGGAAGTAACTGCGATCACTGAATGTCCTGATGCATCTCAGTAATCCAGGTAAAAAAATCAAAAAGAAAAAAGTTGTATAGGATTGTACAGGTGTTTCGGAGAAACTGAGATGTTTATTTTCTAAACATGATGTCCCAGTGGCTTTCAAACCCCAAAACACATTACGGCAAAGGCTGGTTCACCCCAAAGATCCGGTGCCCCGGCACAAACAGGACCTATACAATTTTTTTCCTTTTTCCTTTTACTTCTACATGCATTTGTGTCTCAAATGTTTATGCTTAATTTTATATTTTTCCCACAAGGCTTTTTTATTTCTATGTGTTGCAGGCATGTGCTGCCTCAGCTTAGCTTAAAGTTTAGTTGAAAACAAAGGCAAGGAGTAAAACTTACCCGTGCCTTTTTTTTAACTAAACTTTAAACNATCATCATCCTGAGAACTAAAGCTTCTCTACAAGACATTGTCTCAGGATGATGATGTCATATCATGAGCCCTGCACCAACAGCAAAGGCTGCATTCCTTTCGAAAATATTAAATGTGAACTTCAACATCTAGCTTCTACATTTAACTTTCAAAATTACATTTACACATTTAAATTTAGGATTTATTTACATACATTTTTTAGCACTTAAATTTATTTAGTTCAAATAAACTAAGGACAGTAAGCTAAATAACAGTACAATGATAAAAAATTCTAACACTAAGAATGTGAGTGCAATAATGAAAAATGTTAGTGAAAAGTTTCAACATTTT